GGATGACAGCTTCTGGTTGTCCACGAATATTGGCATTATACAGAACAGTAAGTGCATTAATATCTCGCCGGTGGTTAAGGTTCTGATGTTTAGACCATTCCAATGACCAGATCAAGACTAGAGATGAACTTTCTCGCACGATTCTCCATCTTGTCTGAAATGCTGATAAAAGTTTGGGGCAGGCAGTCCAAAAGAGCGATGCATACTCAAGATGGGAGAGAACTTGTATTTCATATAAGGTTTTACAACTCTGCTAATAAGAAAGTGCGATGCGCTGCAGGGCTCTAAGTTTTTTGGTTGCCTCGCCTGCTAGGTTAAGCACGTAGGTTTCCATGGTCATTGAAGAATCAGACTTCAATCCCAGTATGTCAACTTCATCACTGAAAACTAGATTTTTATCACTCATGTGTATGAATGTACAGGGAGCCGGTCGGCCGAGCGGACAGCACACTGGACTTGTGATCCTGTGGTCCTGGGTTCGATCCCAGGCGCCGGCGAGAAACAATGGGCAGAGTTTCTTTCACCCTATGCCCCTTTTACCTAGCAGTAAAATAGGTACCTGGGTGTTAGTCAGCTGTCACGGACTGCTTCCTGGGGGTGGAGGCCTGGTCGAGGACCGGGCCGCGGGGACACTAAAGCCCCGAAATCATCTCAAGATAACCTCAAGAAGATGCCTGTCCGATTTGTAATATCATTCTGACGTGTTCTCATCACCGCATCTGTTTTTCAACCACAAATGCGACCTACCATCGCATTCCCCCAGGTGAATATTGTTGAAATTTTTTTATTAATGAGCCTCTTAGCCATTGGTATTTCACCTTTTCCATGTGTAAACATAAGAGTACAGTCAACAGTATAGACCGGAGCTTCAGGAATGAAGTATAGTGGATCGTTGAAATAGACATTCCATAACAAAGGGTCAAACACACTTCCTTGTAGTTTACTGGCACTATTGAGTGGCTTTCAGATTCTGCTCCTTTGAAAACTACTATTAGGTCCCTTTTAGAAAATAGTCCCTTATTTGGTGTAAAAATGGAGCCAGAGATACCTAGTGCTTGAATTTTTACAACTAATTCAAAGTGCTAATCCGATCATAGGCACTTGTAATATCCACTGTCACAACGAAGCTGCTCACAGGTTCATCCAGTGCACTTAGTGGAGAGGTTTAGCAAAAGATAAGCAGCAGAACGACCTTTTCAAAACTGAATTGTCGTCCAATAGTATCTGATGATAAAAAATAGTCATTTACTGAGAAAGTAATGTCTCAAGAATTTTAATATGTAATTAAATTTAATATGTAATCAAGTAATTAAAATATGTTGCTTTGGTCTGTAGTTACTGATCACTGATTGATTGATTGAGGAAGATCAAGCCACCCATAAAGTGGCACGGGCATGAATAGCGCGTAAACCGATCACTGAATGACTATTCTTTTTATTGTGTCGTAAAACTAGTGGCGCGTCAGAGGGAAAGTCAACACAACTTTTCCGCACAAAAAGTTCTCACAACTGGTTAATAGTCTTGGACGGACCTCATCCGGCCTCACAGCTTCACCTATGTCAAGTCCAACCTGTTAAATATCCACTTCAGACAACACTGACATAAGTGGTTTTGACAAGATGTGGAGATTATTGTTCAGGATCAGGGACTTGGATCTTGGCAGCAAATGGCTTGCCTGAAGGTAAACCCTTTCATGATTGCTGGTTGTAACAGTCCCATCTTCCCGGTTAAGTGGCGGCGTTGTGTCCTCAGGTGGATACCTCTGCAGATCTTTAACCAGAGATCACCAGACTTTGGATCCAACTCTTCTTGATGCAAGATTTCTCCAAATTTCTGATTCCCATCTGAATATTGCCGATTTATAAACCTCTCTCTCATCATCATCTCATATATCTCTCGACTTTTTTATTCCTCACAGTTTCACACCCTCCTTTCTGTTCCATGCCTTCCATAACCTATTGTTACATCCCTTCCTCGCCCTTCTCCTCCATCTTTCTTCTATTTCATAACGTCTGCCGCTCTCCCCTTTTTTTCTTTTTATGTTCCTTATCGTTTCTTTTCTTTGTCTCAACCTTTCTCGATCTCCTTTATTATTACATTTCACAATCCTTTGTTCCTGTTATCATCAATATTTCCTCCACTCTCTTTTTTTCATTATATTCCTTCGGGTTTCTTTCAGTTAAGTTAGAGCTTAATTGTGATCCCATTGCAGTATCTTCCTCTTGATAGAAAAACACGTTATTTAGATGCTTTTCACTATATACAATCATGCGTTCTGTCGATTCTGTGGTGGAGACCAGTTACGTGCAGAAAATTATGGATATTCTTCATAAAGTACCTATATTTCATATTATAATACGTGCTCCACCCTGAGTGTGTTCCCTCATCAACAGATGGCAGCAGTAGATGGTAGTGTAAATATTCCTAATGATAACAATCGGTTCAAAGTATCTGGTACTATCTAAGATTTAATATAACAGCAAAGTAAACTTATTTACTTGACTCAGGAGTGATCACAAAATTGTAACATAAGAATGCAAATATTTCAGGTACTCTTCGTGGTCGCGTGAATGTGGTAAGTTCGACATACATTGATGTAGCACCACACATTCTCCGCTTGGTGATTCGTTGTTTCACGATGTTGCAACCCGTCCTTGACTCATGTCCATTACATCCAGCGGTCGACCCCACAGACGCATTCATAAATGTTTACATGCTGTTCAATCAAAACTGGAATTTTCTTAAATATAAATTAATATTATAATATATTAGCATATTGTGCATATATAAGCATAGGTTAGGTTACGTGTTTAGGTTCCGTTGGCGATTATTTGTTTTTGTAGTACGTGGGTGAAGCATTTACAGCGTTGTGGTTCGAACAAAATTCGTCAGTGAAGCATTTGTTCCGGAAGAGTTCGAACGAAATCTGTTGTGAGTCGTGCAGCCCGTCCTCCAAACAAAGATCCAAAAGTGATTCCATGCACCCGCCAAACCCCCTGTTTATGAATGAAAAGCAGTTTACACACGACTCACAACTGCTGACGTTCGAACATATCCGGAACAAGTGCTTCACTGACGAATTTTGTTCGAACCACAACGCTGTAAATGCTTCACCCACGTACTACAAAAACAAATAATCGCCAACAGAACCTAAACACCTAACCTAACCTATTCTATGCCTATATATATACACAATATGCTAATATATTATAATATTAATTTATAGTTGAGAAAATTCCTGTTTTGAATGAACAGCTTGTTCAAATTTATGAATGCGTCTGTGGGGTCGACCGCTGGATGTAATGCACTTGAGTCGAGGACGGGTTGGAGTCGTGTGTAAACCTTTTTTCATTCATAAACAGGGGGTTTGGCGGGTGCATGGAATCACTTTTGGGTCTTTGTCTAAAGGACGGGCTGGGCTGCGATGTTGATGCATGCGTGTTGATGCGGTCTTCTGGTTCAACCTTGAAGACGAGCGGACGTCTGGACACCTGCTCCACCTGGGAGCCGCCGGATCACGTTCTGTTTCGCTCTTTTGGATTATGATACTGCCGTTTGACATTCCTATTCAACGGTCCGATTGTTACGACGACTGGCGCACATATTGCCTTGGGTCACAGGATATTTGACAGATTTTGAACGTTTTCTGACTGGTTCTCCGGGTGGGGTGAGGTGTCCGGCTTGGCTTGGCTGAGAAGATACCGAGAGTGGGTAGGTCTTTGTAAGCTCCTGATGTGCCTTAGACGTGGTGGGCGGCCGGCTTCTGCTCTGCCGGGGGGCACTGGATGACATTTTGCGTTTTAGTTGGGAACTGAGTGTTTGGTTTTGTTATCCAATGTTCTTTGTGTGGGGCTGGTCACCCTGAGGAACTCCTGATGCTCCCCCCAATCATCAGCCCGTCTGTGTTTATTTGCCGCGAGGTACATTAGTTTCCGCTGATAAGCGACATTCATTTCGCCATTAGGCTTTGCGAGTAACTCTTCACGGGTACGCCGGGACGCATCCAATCCCACGATCGCCGTCGCCCCTAAATCAACAACAACATTATACGCATTGATGCGTATGGTTGCAGTACGTTCTCACTGTTGACAAGCGTCCCACCTGAAGTGGTTTATGGTTGACCAGAGGCGTAAGAACTAAGTATCCAACCGAACCTATCGAAGACGATGATCATTAGCAGAATAAGCGTCAGAGTTGTGATGATTTTATTTCCAGTAAAGAAAAGTTTCATATTGAACTAAACTAAAAATTGTCTATTGCCTCAAATTTGTAGTGTATTAAGTGTGAGGACAGGTTGAATTGCTTTATGAAGAAGTGATTTTGTCTTTAATGGATGTAAAATAAGAGACTACAGTGTTAATGACATTTTACACACACTGGCCGAATATCACCTCCAATGACAGCCACTTGGAGTGTGTCGACAGCAACAGCCTAGCTTCCTGCAGGGTTGGCGTTCAATCACAGATGGTGCAAGTAGGTGTCCATAGTTCGTTCTCTCCGTACCCATATGCCAGCTTCATGTCCTCGTGTATCTCCCATGTGCTATATATTCATATTGGGTTAGCACTTTCTTGCAATATTTACTGTTCCTCAACTTGGCTTTTGTCTACATGGATGTATGTGATTATTTCATAATAGGCAAAGCAAAGAGGACGAGAAACGGCAGGAACAAAACATGAAACTATACAAACAGTGAAGACCAAGTGAAAGTTTTATATGGAGGTTCACAACTTCTGCAAGGATGGAGAACTCTATAGTCCATGTAGATGGAAACTAATCGTACGCAGGCATTTCGCACACAGCTCGTTATCAATTTATTAAAATAATAAATATTGATAGATTATGCTAAATTAGATTATGGCAGGTTAGGCTGGATCAGTTTATGCTGTTTCCTAGGGCAAGTTAGGTAGGTTAGATAGGTTTTAACATGAATTCAGTGGAGAAGCTGCCTTGTGTACGAGATGACCTGTTCCTTGCCTCAAGGTGGAGGAACTACTCACATCAACGTCGAGGGTGGGTGGGTCGAAGATCTGGACGGGGTCCTTGGAGGTGGGTGTGTAGCGATAGAACTCGTGGGCTCCCTGGTACCACTTGATGGAGTACATCTTGTCGTTCTCCTCCTCCCATGAGCAGTCGAGGTCTCCCAGGCCCCCAGCCTCCACGGTGGCCGGCACCCGCACCCGTGTGATGCTGATGGTGGCTGTGTCTGGCGGGGGAGAAGGGCACCTTTGTGAGTGGGGGTGGTGAGTGGGGGGTGCTGGTGGTGAGTGGGGGAACTGGTGGTGAGTGGGGGTGCTGGTGGTGAGTGGGGGTGGTGAGTGCTGAGTGGGGGTGGTGGTGGTGGTGAGAGGGGGTGCTGGTGGTGAGTAGGGGTGCTGGTGGTGAGTGGGGGTACTGGTGGTGGTGGTGAGAGGGGGTGCTGGTGGTGAGTGGGGTGCTGGTGGTGGTGGTGAGTAGGGGTGCTGGTGGTGAGGGGGGGTGCTGGTGGTGAGTGGGGGTGCTGGTGGTGGTGGTGAGTGAGGGTGCTGGTGGTGAGTGGGGGTGCTGGTGGTGAGTGGGGGTGCTGGTGGTGGTGGTGAGAGAGGGTGCTGGTGGTGAGTGGGGGTGCTGGTGGTGAGTGGGGATACTGGTGGTGAGTGGGGGTGGTGGTGGTGAGTGAGGGTGCTGGTGGTGAGTGGGGGTGCTGGTGGTGAGTAGGGGTGCTGGTGGTGAGTGGGGGTGCTGGTGGTGAGTGGGGGTGCTGGTGGTGAGTGGGGGTGCTGGTGGTGAGTGGGGGTGCTGGTGGTGAGTGGGGGTGGAGGTACTGGTGGTGAGTGGGGATTCTGGTGGTGAGTGGAGGTATTGGTGGTGAGTGGGGGCACTGATGGTGAGCGGGTACTGGTGGTGAGTGGGGGTGCTGGTGGTGAGTGGGGGTACTGGTGGTGAGTGGGGGCACTGGTGGTCGTGCTGATGGTGAGCGGGTATTGGTGGTGAGTGGGGGCACTGATGGTGAGCGGGAACTGGTGGTGAGTAGGGGTTTATGGTGAATCAGAAGGTTAGAGTGATTCATTCCAAGATCGCCTCTACCCATCTCTATCCATCTTTCCCCACCCATATTTATCCACACATCCAACGTTAACTCTTCACTAATCATCCACCATAACTCTGCATTTTAACTTGTATTAAACCGTCCTACCCTACTCGTTACCTCACCCCTACAACATTTCCCTGCCCCCCATTTCTACCACATTCCCCAGCCCCACCTTACCCCAGTCCCCCCCCCATCACACCTTCCCCATCCCCCGCCTCATAAACAACTTCCCCATTGTCCACAGCTCCTCCCAGGCCGGGGTGCCCGCCTCGGCCTATGCAAAATATGAACGCTCAAATATGACAGAAAAAAATTCCAAGTCTCTGTCAAGGCGAAATCTGTCCTCCTCTTTGAGCTCACATTTATTTATAGTTAAAGGAGTTGAATGGTATTGTGGTAGTGTGGTGTGTGGTGATGGTGGTAGTGTGGTGTGTGGTGATGGTGGTAGTGTGGTGTGTGGTGATGGTGGTAGTGTGGTGTGTGGTGATGGTGTGGTGTGTGGTGATGGTTGTAGTGTGTGTGGTGATAATGGTAGTGTGGTGTGTGGTGATGGTGGTAGTGTGGTGTGTGGTGATGGTGGTAGTGTGGTGTGTGGTGATGGTGGTAGTGTGGTGTGTGGTGATGGTGGTAGTGTGTGTGGTGATAATGGTAGTGTGGTGTGTGGTGATGGTGGTAGTGTGGTGTGTGGTGATGGTGGTAGTGTGGTGTGTGGTGATGGTGGTAGTGTGGTGATGGTGGTAGTTTGGTGTGTGGTGATGGTGGTAGTTTGGTGTGTGGTGATGGTGGTAGTGTGGTGTGTGGTGATGGTGGTAGTGTGGTGTGTGGTGATGGTGGTAGTGTGGTGTGTGGTGATGGTGTGTGGTGATGGTGGTAGTGTGGTGTGTGGTGATGGTGTGGTGTGTGGTGATGGTGGTAGTGTGGTGTGTGGTGATGGTGTGGTGTGTGGTGATGGTGTGGTGTGTGGTGATGGTGGTAGTATGTGTGGTGATGGTGGTAGTTTGGTGTGTGGTGATGGTGGTAGTATGGTGTGTGGTGATGGTGGTAGTGTGGTGTGTGGTGATGGTGGTAGTATGGTGTGTGGTGATGGTGTGGTGTGTGGTGATGGTGGTAGTGTGGTGATGGTGTGGTGTGTGGTGATGGTGGTAGTGTGGTGTGTGGTTATGGTGGTAGTGTGGTGTGTGGTGATGGTGGTAGTGTGGTATATGGTGATGGTGGTAGTGGTGTGTGTGGTGATAGTGGTAGTGTGATGATGGTGGTGTTAGCGGCATGAGCACTGGTCACAATGATGTCACGGTTAATTGTTTGTGAAGTGTGGCTGGTGTTTCCATGTGATTCAACAAAGGTCATATACCACCAGTATGATAGTTACACTTCCTAACTACCTATCTGGCCACTTTCTACAAAAGTACTAGGTTTAAGTGGACAATTGTATCTGATATGTTTTCATGTGGTCCTTGGTCAGAGACCGGGCCGCGAGAACTTTGATCCTCGGTATTATCGACAGGTAATGATCGCTCGTTGACTGGTGGTCCCTGTTATGGTGAGTGGTGATCCCTGTTATGGTGACACATACAGATAACAGCACCAACAACAACAAATGTATCAAGAACAACACGTGAAGACACAGACGCACCACACACCGCTCAACAAGACCTCGTCAACAATTACAAACTTCTAAGATGAAATACCAAGTTCTCAAACTTTTCTAAGATGAAATACTACTACTAATAAGATAAAAACAAATTCCAAATTACCAGACCTGCCAGGTGAGAACCATCTCTGAACCTTCATTTAGAACCTAAAGTCTCCCTTTATAAAGTCTTACACTGTTGAATGGACAGTTTTGAGTTTTAGATGACACAGTCTTAAAATATAAAGATCCATGTCATATGAAATGTTTACATAGAAACGCGACATTGAATGGACTTAATATATGTAAACAAATAAAGCTCTCTTAACCAGGATCTGCAGTAATATTAATGGATGTATTCTGTTATACAATACTCTCCTATATGTTTGTATTAAATGAATTTTACCACCATACCCGCTACCCTAGGTAGCGGGTATCCCTACCCCAGGTAGTCCTCATCTTGGGTAGGGAGACAGGTCACTCACACCTGGGGTAGGAAGACAGGTCACTCACCTGGTGACTCGGGTCACTCACCAGGTAACTTCCTGTCACCGAGTAATGACAGGGAGAAGTAACTGAAGACAGCCAACGTGAAGCACAACCATCACCCTGCAAGATCACCGAGTGAGAAAGTGGGGTGTGACAGGACTAGACAAGAAATGGGACAAAAGGGGAAGAAGAAGAGAAACTGGAATTGGTGGCAGGAAGGTGGAGGAGGAGTGAAGGGTGAATACGAGAAGGGTATTGAGCGTGGAGGGTGGATATACAAAAGGATGGCAGGCAGCGAATGAGGCGTAAGGGAAGGAGAAAGAGCAACACAAATAGCAATATATTGTTAGTCATTGTACATGACTCATTGTACAAGACTATCAATATATTACTTAAATAAGTAATCACTTGAAAAATTGATTATTTTCTCTGAACTGACCAAGTAACATTACTGTAGTCGTCGGCTCACAACCGAGGGACCCGGGTTCAAATTCTGGGCAGAACAGAAACCAGTTGGGTACGTTTTCTTTCACCTGAAGCACCTATTCACCTAACAGTAAAATAAAATAGGTATACGAGAGTTAGGCAACTGTTGTGGGTTGCCTCCTGGGGAAATGTCAGTGATTAGCCTAAGAGCATATCGATAAGCCTAAGTACGGGCTTAAACAATTATCGAACAGAAAACATTGTTATTGAGAGAGAAAAAGAAGGTTTGGCAGCAAGAGAACGGGAGTTGGACTGAAGATAACAACGAATACTATACTAGTACCTAAATTCCCGTCCGTATATAAATGTACTGTTGCGACCCACAAAAGTTCACGTTTTGTGCTATTTTGTAGTGACGAGAAAAAGGCAACAGCCAAAGATAAACTTTCTAGGTCTAGTAAACTTCATCTATGAACTTAATTAGACCTAAGATAGGTCTAATACATTAGGCCTAGCACAGGTCAGGTTAGATTGTATAATTTACTGGTCCACTTTATAGCCTGTCATCTGGAGTCTTCCACTAGTACAACACCAACTTTGTAGAATGCAACAGTCAGCATTTGTACGGTCGACCAACAGTTGCTGACAGTACTAACAGTGGCTCCTGTGCGCCTGTTGTTGTTGTTTTTGATTTAGCTACTCAGAACGAAATGTTCAGGTAGCACGGGCTATGGTGAGCCCGTAATTCTGTGCGCCAAAACTTGACGCATATATACAAGTGCGGCAGGTCACGTGACTGTTGGCAAAGGTGCGTGAAGGCTCTTGTGGAAAAGCTTTAAAATAATTGTAATTTTTTTCATAAATTGTCACTTGTAACGTATTAAAATATTGAGCGTGGAAGTAATTTGCATATTACATAAAATATGATTGTTCTTAATAAATAAATAAATAACATATATGTTTAAAGGAATGTATGCATGTATAATATTAGCAAACAATAATATTATACTAGGAAATCTAATTGGACATATCCAACCACAGATTAGAGAACTACTTAAATTCTGTGACACATTTTCACTCAACCAGCAGATATCAGAGCCAAATAGGAACGAAAATATTCTAGATCTTGTCTTCACAAATAATGAAGACATAATCGGGGACACTACAATCTCAGATACCACATACTCAGATCACAAGCTCATTGAAGTGCAAACTACCATCAATACTCACAATAGACCTAAAACAATGATCAAGCGAGAGGGGTTATTCAGTAAAGTCAATTTTAATAATAAAACGATAGACTGGAAGAAAATAAACAGGGAACTTACAAATATTCAATGGGAAATTGTTCTAAGTAATAAAAAATCCTACACAAGGATAAGAAAAACTGACTTCTGAAGCATGTAAAGTCTTAAACATGTTCCTTTGAGGCCAGCCAGAAAGATGTCCAACGTAGAAAGAGAACATAAACGACACTACAAAAGAAGAAAAAAAGCGGAAATGCGTAAGCAAACACGACTTTCCACACAAAGAAGGAATAATTTAAACGGAGATTGAAGAAATCGAGAAGAGACTAAAGCATTCATATCAA